GGAGGAACAGCGTGGGGCTCCCTGCCCAGCCAGGCGGTGTGGCCGGGCTCCCCCCACCAGCAGGACCCCAGGTCACTGCCTACCCAGCAGCGCTGTCTCTGGGCTATGGGGAGTCTTAAGTGTCTATAGACCAAGGGCTCTGCTCAGTTGGTTCCTGCGGCCATGGATGCTTAATAAACCCCGCTTAAACGGGCTGACAAAGGAAACGGTGCCAGGAGCTCAGTAAACTCCAGTGGGTATGGGCCAAAGAATTGTTTTATATACAAACAAACAAAATCTCTGGAAGGGAAATCACATCAAGCCTCGCAAGGCAGCTGAAGGCGCCGATTGAGGATGCTGGAATTTATATCTGCTCTGGTGCCAAAAGTTTCGGGGATAAATATTCAGCCAGTAACCCTCATAAAAGCGAGTGCTTCTGTCTGCTGGTACGCTGGCCCGGCAGCGGTCGAGCATCCCCAGCCTCGCCGAGTGCCGGCAGGATGAATGGAAAGAGTCCAGAGTCCAGCCTGTCTTAAATCCCACGGCTAAAAACCTGAGAAGTCCTTGAACACTAATCCTTAATAATGTCTTTTTTGCTTTCTGTTGTAAAACCCTGCGCATTAATGCTAGGAAGGCGTTTGTGTGTGCGGAACAACCCGTGCTGATGGAGGACGGCAGCGCTGTGGAGGTTTCAGAGTCGCCTGCTTGCGTTTCTCCTCTTGGGAAACCATCCCAGCCAGCTAGTGTCTGACACAGGATTTCTTAAAAAAAAGCCCATCTTGCCTTAACTAATCTGTTTAAAACGAGTAACTATTCTATGGTAGCAACAATTTTGTAAATGCAGCTTTCTGGATGGTTTTGGTTTTGTGCAACCCATAGGATTTTTTGCTTTGCACTTTGTAACTGGCTCATAGGGACCCCAGATGCTTTAAGAGATAAATATTCCTTAAAACAAAGGGTCCTTTAATCATGGGCAAGAACTTTATTTATGGCTGCAAGTGGCATTTAAAAGCAGAGTGACAAGTAAAATACTTGGCTTGCTTACAAAATCTAAACAACATTGAGGACATTAGGAGGATGTCTTCTAGACAGCAGTTCAGTTTAAAATGGAGAAAGATACCATGATTTCTTATTTTGAAGTGCTGACATTTCCCATATGTTCTTCAGTGAATATGAGCTTGAGATCAGCTTCACTTTGACACTGGAAGTTTGCCCAAGAAGGGTTTTGCAGCAAATCAGCAATATCCATGGCGTTTCGCAGATCTTGATGGAAGGACACAAATTAAAAAAAAAAAAAAAAACCCCAACTTAAAAAAAAAAAAAAACACAAACCCAAACAATTTCAAATGATCTGTCTCAGAGTTTAATAACAGCGTGTTGTGGGATAATGTCGAAGGAATGCAGGAGAAACCTGAGACGCGATCGCTGCAGTCAAGCTAAGTGCATCGCAGAAAACACATAGCTGAGCTTCAGCTGTGCCAGTGCCCGTCAGAGCCACTGCAGGCTCTTCCCGTCGACGGCTGGCGCAGCATTTAGTATGAAAGCCCGAAGTCTGCCTTTTGCAAAAAGCTGTCCTGTGTGCTGCCTGAGCCTGGGGGTAGCCAAATTCCACGGGACCTTTATGTTTTAATTCTAAATTTTGCAAGGCCCCTGGAAGTCTCTTTCTGTGCATGCCCACAGGGGCTCTAGGCTGAGTAACCTAACCCCAAATTCAGTCCCGATGAGGATCCAGCCTGGACGTCTTCCTCTGCGTTAGCCCCGGGGTGCAGTGATCTGGTAGGTCTTTGCTGAGCACCCCCAGCACGTACCCCCACATGGAGTGGGGCTTACGGCACGGAGGGGTGAGCGTGGAGAGCTTCACAGTGAGGGAGCCAGCAGCCTGTTGTATGGCAGGAGGCCTGCGTTCGGCCTCCAGGTTGTTTGGGGTGACCGCTCCAGGGCACCCTGGTCCCTCTGGGCAGTGCGGCGCTGGCAGCCGGTATCCAGACGTGCCCTCGGAGGGAGGGTACGGAGGAACCGTATCTGCGCCCCTGCTTGGGCAGCTGCCGGGGGGGCTGCTGGCAGCCTTCGGGAAACATCACGGCGTTGCCTAATTTAGCTCCAAGTCCTGCTCCGCTAATTTGTTGGGCTGGGAGTCCTGAGGGTGTGGAGAGAGGAACTGTAGTTGCTAAAGCTTAGTAATTAAAATAGCACGGGAACAAAAGGGGCTGCCTTTCTCCCCAGCTGAGCTGAGGGAGAATCGGCACCACTTAAGTAGTACAGAGCCTTGTTCCTCCAGAAGTTGGATACCTGATCATCACAGACCACGCACCCTTACTGGAAGGCAGCTGCTTTATGTGCAGGCTTCAGATGGGAAGAGTTGCGCTCCAGTTTCTCTTACATGCCGTTAGAGAAGTAAACCAAGTAGCTCTTGGGTTTCTCAGTAAATATGTAAGGTTTTAAAACCTTGCTTTTCTTGAAAACAACAAACTCTGCATGTTTCTTCTCCTTTCTATACAATCCTTTTAACGATTTAAAAGGATAACCGACAGCGAACTTGAGGGGAGAGAACTGCCAGTGGCTACTGGCAGTGCAGGATATGGTAAACATGCTGTCTCTTATTGACAGGGTGCCATGCTTTGCAACGCAAATTTCTGCTAATAATCCTAAAATACACTTTGGCTATTACACACAACCTTTGGAGCTACCAGCAGCCTTTTAAGATCATTTGTATTAGTGGGGAATTTGTGGTCAGTGAAGAATTTGAGTGCCATATTTGTGCCCCTCTTGGTCATTGATTCAAGTAATTTCAAGAGCTGATTCTAATTGCGGGGTAGGGGAACGATACGAAACGTGCCTGTCCGACCGCCCAGAGTCTGAGTGCTTCAGCGTATACCCACAATGTGAGATGATTGCTGAGATAGAAAACAGTTGAAGAGCCTTCTGCAGAAATGCACCCTGTTAAGTTCCTTGGTAAGGAACTTAAGAAGAGAAATAAAAGCTTCCCTGTAGGTCTCTCACATGCCATGTCCTCCTCATTCTCCTCCCTGCTTATTTGGAGCAGTGTTGCCAGGGAAAGATGAAAGTGGGAGAACCAAGCCCAGACTGGTCAGCTGCCAAGTGCTGGGGCCTCTGACTCAGAGCTTTGGCAGCTGTAGGAATAATTAAAATTCTCCGTGTGCTTACTTATATTCCTGTAAATCTTTTTTGTTGAATCTTTAAAACCAAGTAGGATGGTTGTAAGGGAAATAAATACAGTCAAGCCCTGAAAAAATATGGCTGTAGTCTTAGCTCAGCTAATCAGCTAGACTTCTGCAAGGTGTTAGTTTAGTTTAGTTTAGGGATAAGCCTTCTCCCACCTCTGATTATTTTAAACATTAAGCATTGACATATATATATATACACATATAAAAAACAAAATAACAGAAATACATCAACATGATGGACATCTCTTTTATTTGATCCTTCAGGCAGGGTTCATTAAGAGCAACTGTACAAAGGAGCCCGTGCCGTACAGAGTCTATCATGGGACACATCCTGGGTTTGCTCTGAGAGGCAACAGCGTTCGCGCACGCCCTCTCTCTGGCCATGCTGCCACCTCCGCTGTGACAGCACTCTTGACGCTGTGGTTACCCCAGAGGCATTTACTAACAAAATCCAGAGCATCCTCGGCGTTTTATTTATGTTTTGCATTGTTCCGCATCCAGTTAGAGGTGTGAATCCCCATTCTCC